AAATACTAATTGTATTTTTATGTAAAGGTGACTTTGTATTTTTTTTTTTGGCTAATATTAAGTTTTCTATTGTGTTCGGTATTTTTTTTAAAAAAATATTCTTTTTAGCAGCATATAATATTTTTGTTTTAATAGAAACCCAAATATGATCTATGTCTTGTTGAAATATTATACTAATATCTTTGTTTAATACAATTAATAAGGATGCATATTTGTTAAAAAAGTATTGTAGCAAAGATTTGTAGTCTTTTTAGTTTTCAGTTGTAGCTTTATCATATAAATATTTTAAGTAAAAATTCTTGGCCTTAGTGGTATTATGAGCCTGATTCTGCATATTACTTTTGTAGTTTAAGTTAACTAAAGTTGTGTTGTGGTTGCTTTTTATTATATAGTTCATATCTAAAATTTCTGCTTTATTTAGATTTCCACTACACTTTCGGAAATCCAAATTTGGTCGATTCATGTGGCTGTATTACTATTTGTCCATATATAGGCTTGTGAATTGAGATTTAAATGACAAAAAGTATCTACAAATTTCTAACTTAACATCCATTTATGTAGTGGAAGCTTTTTGTATATAGCTTTGCTACTAAGGCTTTATTTATCAAGTTCTGATATTGTTATATAGTTGAAGTCTTCTATAATTATTATCTCATAATTTAATGCCCTGTCAAGATATATTTTTTCAATTTGTTGTTAAATTGGTTTGATTTAATTTTTGTTATTTGGTGAAGATATACCATTAATACTGCTAATTTTAAGTGTTTTAATATTATATAAAACTCTAATAGATATTCATTGTGTTTTTTGATATTTCCTGTATATTTGTAAATTTTTCTTTGATAAAAACTTCTACTTCTGATTCTTTTTTTTTGTTAGAGTATGAGCTTGACTAATAACCTTTAAATGGGCTCTCAGATTAAAAGATGAAATGATCTTTTTTGTCTGAAATGTTGTTTCTATAATTTCTATGATATCTATTTCTTTCTCTTTTGCCTAATCTACTAAATATAAGAGCTTATAATTGTTTGATTTGAGTTTGTTGATATTATGACATGCTAACTTTAATTCACAATTTAGAGTATTTGTAATTATCTTAAATGGTATTTGCTCTGTCAAGCTGTTTTGCTTGTTTAATTTTATTGATATATCTGTGATGCCTTTTAGAAGAGATTGGGGTCTAAGGCTCCTGTTTTTTTTCAATTTTTGGAGTCTGTTTAGGATTTGTATCATGGAGTTTCCTGGTATTACCATGTACTAGTAGGTCTTTACTTTCAATATTCACTCGCTTGGCTAATATCTTCAGAGACCGTGTATTATACAGGTCCTTTCACCAACAATGATATGATTATACAGGTAATAGTTTATTTACTAAGAACGAAAGTTGTTATTCACAAAGCTCAAAAAGCTAAAAAAGCTTACAATTTTCAAAGCTTGGTTTTTTTCCTTTTGGGATCGATACCTTATATATTATTACTAATTGCTATTCAGCATTACTGATTATTACATATTATCTTATTGCTCATGCAATCAATGTTTTAACTTTTAATTATTTCCTATGCATAACCCCGAATCATGCCCTTTATGCAAATTGAAATCATGACCTGATCATAATCTCTGACTCTTACCCTTGCACTATGAATACCTGGGACCACAACAATTTGCTCTAAGATACTGCTTTGAAGTTTCAAGTTATTAGAAGTGATATTTCTTCTTGGTTTTCTTTTCTTTTGTGTTATTTAATTCTATTTTATTTGCACTAGTTGTTACTTTATTCAGTAAGTGATTCTGTCTATTTAATCTATTGTCTTCTATTTTTCTAAGTGGCTTTCTTGTATTATTGCAGAATTTAAAGTTTTCGCTTATATTTCTTCTTTGTCTACTATTGTTGTTACTAGGTGATCTTTTCCTTTTAAGGTTTTGTCTACAATATGCTTCTTGATTTTTTAAGTATTGACTATTATAAATTTCACTTATATCAGTTATATCTTAGTTTTCTTTGAAGCTATTATCTTTTGCTAATTCATAATGCTCATTTTCACTCTACTCTAGTTTGTTGTGAAAGTAATATAGTATTGAAGCCTTTGCTATTTTGAGGTTCTCTAATAACACAAAATAAACTAAAGCATTCTTACTTAGATTATTATTTCTATTAGTGAGTTTAAATACCATTTTAGCTTTGAACCTTCTTAGTTGTTTAATCAGAACTATCTTAGGTGCCAAATTAGAAATGTTTCTAAGTATCAATCTGTACTCTTTTCTTATTTCTAGTTCCATGACGTCAAATCTACTTGCTGTAATTCTGCTTGTTTTGCCTCCTTCAAAATATATAGCCTATGCATTTTACAGATTTAGCTTCTGCTTTTTACTTCTGCATGTGATCTTTATATATACTGCTACCAATTTTTTCAACATACGCTATTCTACTAATTTTACTCTTCTGTATTAATTAAAACATCTTTTGATTCTTGCTGAATTTATTCCAAAAAGTAAATCCTAGATTGTGAAATATAACTCTAATTTCTCTTCTTTTTATGATATTTAGTTTTATTTACTAGATATTTGTTTTGGAGCAATATATTTTCAGGTGCTCATATCAAGCTATATATGACTTTTTTTTTTTTGATTCTTTAAAGACTTTGTGGACCTCTTTTTTAAAATTAGATTGTTTTTCTACAATTTGCTTTTTATCAGTAGTTATTTGCTATTTTGTCTTTATATTTATACTATTGAACCTTTTAACTAGAAAAATTAGTTTTGCTATATTTTCTGTATTGTGATTTGATATTTCGCTTTCTGAGAAGATTAATGAAAATTTGTAGTTCTTTTTTTAATCATAACATTGCATTAGCAATTCTCTATCACTTTTATTGAAGTTCAATTCTGCATTTTTAATATAGTTTGTTTCTTTCTTTTTTGCAACTATGCTGTCTTGAACATCTTTATTATATACTCTTTTTCCAAGTATCAAGACTGGAGATTTTATATTTAAATTCATTTCTGTGAATTGGCCTATGTCTTGATTGAAAATATTTTCTATTAAAACTTCACCTATAAGTTGTAGCTCTACTTTTAATATTTTTTTTTCATTATGTCTTTTACCTTGAACCTATTTATAGCTATCTAGTAACCCTCGTATTATACCAATTTGTTCTGGGTGAGATGCTTCCATAAAACTTGCTATATCTTTATTTATCTTGAGAGTTACAAATTTTTGTTCTTTGTATACTTCTATTTGCTTCTCTGAATTGTTGTAAAAATTTTTTAAGTTTGCTATTCTAGTCATTTTTGTCTTGACTTCTCTATAATCTACTATGCAACTTATTTGTATTGTTTGTTTGTTTACTTGAGTTGTTTGTTTACTTGCAGCTTTGTTTATTTGTCTATACTAAAAAGAATACATATTACTGTTTGTTGTTTTGGTATAATAGTTAGTGATCTGTTTGTCAGGGGTTTAATAAATTTCTACTTTTTGTGTCAAAAATTGTAAAAATTTTTTAAAGTTTCTAGTTGTTGCAGAATTTACTAATAAAATATACTGTTTGCTTCTAGAAAAGTTTCTTTGTTTTATGCAAAAGTTTCTTTTTCTCTAGAAGGGTTTTGGCAGTTTGTTAACTTGTTTTTGCGAAATTTGATGTTTTTTCTTAAATCTAAAAAATCAGTAGAGAGAGTTGTAAAATATTTTCTGAATAAAAATATATTAAATAAATAAAAAAAAACAAATAATATATATAAAAATAAAAAAATATAAAAACATAAATAAAAAAAACAAAATCATATAAAAATATTATATAAAAGTATTATTTGAAATATATATTATACAACTCTTTTTAATGATCACTTGAACTAAAATTTCCCATAAAAGAAAAGTCAAGTTTGGATATTGGAGTGTAGAATAATACCTGTAGTGGGTAGACAACAGTGTGGTTTTTATAAAGATCAACCTTTTGTGCTTTATGAAAACTTCTTTATATATTTAACATACAAGCCAAAAGCGTCTTTATACAAGATAACTAGCTGGGGAAGTGTGTTCTTGTATATAAAATTTTGATGGAGATTATGGTTTTCCTCTATCGACAAAGCAATCTGTTGTAAATTAATTGGGGAACAGTAAAGAACTTGCTATTCTCAAGCTACATTCTTTTACTTGGCCAAGCAACTTCTCTCTTACTCACTTCTACTTTTCTGCTAGTCTTCTAAACTTTTTTATAAAAAGTGGGGGATTTGGCTTACCCCCTCTAAAAGATTGATATTGTTTACTTTCCAAATTTAGATAGACTAGCAAAATACAACTACATATTTGTTTATAGACAAATATGGCACTACTTCATGGGACCTAGCTAGGAACTCTCAGGCAATGGAGCTATCTAGAGTTGACAGGAAGGTTAGAAAGTAATTTAATATTAAAGCAAAGCTTTACAGTATAAATATACAAATATTACATTTGATATAATTTTTATCAGCCATATATAGGTTATAATAATGTTTTCAGGGTTTTAGATTTCTTTTCATGTTTTTTCTTTTTTACAATCAGTGTTTCTTTTTTCTTTTCTGTTTTTTCTTTTTCTGATCGTTTTCATATTTTTCTTTTAAAAAATTTCCCTCTTTGTCTTATGCTCCTTGAGAAGAAGGAAGAATTAGAAAAGAAAAAAAAGATCTTGATGTAGTATATGACAGCCTGTCAATGATCAAGGAGAATATCATTTCAATGATCAAAATTAAAATAAGTTTGGATTCTGAGTAAGACTAATAGTTGCTATAGCAGGTCACATTGGGTTTTTACCTGGTGAGTTTTTATTGAGTTAGAGCTACAAGTTGTAAAAATTTAGTACATTCGTGTATATGAATTATATAATAGCTCATATGAATAAAAGCAGGATTGCTTAAATATAAAATAAAAAAGAAATATATATTATGTGCTTCATATCCACACACAACTATTGCAACTAACCAATACTTAAAGTTATATCCATCTATTATTTTATAAGATTATTCGAAAATTATAATTGTTGGCTATCATTGTGAGAACGTATAATTCGTTGTAGATGTGATATGAATGAGGTACTTTTTTTTAGATCAGTTTGGCTTATATCAGAATGAGGAGATTTATCTTGTAGTGTTGCGAGAAAATGTGATTTATAAGAGAAATTGATGATAGATGTAGGTGTTTGTGTAGCAACTACACTTTTACTCTTTTTATATGAAGTAGTAGTTGCTTGTACTCTAATTCTTTTTCTACACTTTTTAGTTTTATGAGCTACAACTTTAGCTAGTTCATCTTCTGATATAGTATCTTCATTGTTAGTGGCTAGCAGGAAATATATAGTACCTTCTGCTAACTTATTCTTATTAAAAAAATATACAAAAATTAAAACAAGTCAATAGGCAATTCTCTAGTTAACTGGACAAAAATTTTTTTTTATATATAAATTTTACTATAAGTGTGAATACACTGAGCCTGTATCTAAAACTTTTTTTATACTAAGTAAATTACTCTTCAGCTTCTAACAAAAGTTGTAGAGCTCATCAAAATGTACTTAATACTAAAAAGATATTAAAATTGGCCTAGTAGTTATTGAGAAATCTTTAAAAAACTTCTTTTTTACATATAAAATTTCTTTAAAAAATATTGATTTTTTTAAAGAAATTTTATATGTAAAAAAGAAGTTTTTTAAAGATTTCTCAAGAACTACTAGGCTAATTTTAATATCCTTTTAGTATTAAATACATTTTGATGAGCTCTACAACTTTTGTTAGAAGCTAAATAGTAATTTACTTGGTATAAAAAAAGTTTTAGATACAGGCTCAGTGTATTCGCACTTATAGTAAAATTTATATATAAAAAAAAAAATTTTTGTCCAGTTGACTAGAGAATTGCCTATTAAATTAAAGGCTAGATTGATGGAAATGTATTTAGCAAATGAGCTTTGCATGTTCAGATGAAACTAAAATTTATAATCAATACTACTTAAAAACTAAAATGGAATAGTAGCAATTATACCAAATAAGAACTTGGCAAGTTCATCAGGTATTATAAAAGTATAAGCGAAATAAAAATTACTATAATACCCCAAAATTTTCAGTAGTGGCGAATAAAATAACAAAATATAAGTTTGAACAGGGATGTGAAAGTTCTGTTTAGCCCTGATTCAATAAATTTCAGAAAATCAAGTTATAATAATCATAAATCAGAATAAGAAATTAATAATAAATACGTAGATTATTTAAATATATTGATTAATAAATAATAATGATTGAATCGACTTGAATTAAAGATTTTTTATAAACCAAATCAGCATAGGTGATAAACCAATAAAACTAATAAAATATGCATATATTGCTTTCGAATACTTTGCATACCTTATAATTGTAGCTCTGGTAGTTTCTTCTTCAGATTTTATCTCAATGCGACTGATATCTTTAAGGTGTCAATTAGTAATGTAAATATAAAGCATATTTTACTGCCTCAGTACAAAAAATATCGAATAGAAATGTCAGCATACACTGAGGAAGTTTTAATTTCAAAGCTTAACAAACTTGTTGACACGCAAGAATCTATCTCATTTTCATAACAACATCCAATATTAAATATCCCATAATAATAAATTTCAAGCTAATAATTATACATACTTATCTTCAACACTGAGTATGATTCAAAGATCTAGCCCATTTAAAATATAATTCAATAATTTAGCCCAAGATTTCCAAGCTCTAATTTCAAAGGCCCTATACATTTTATAGATAATTTAATAATATAATAATTAGATCCTAAACAATTAGGTCTTGATACAAGATTAATATCGAATAAAATTCTATCAAATGCTCTTTGTTCAGTCAAAATCTCGTCGTGATAACTTCAAGACTATAAATATCTGATACTTAAGACCCATTAAAATCTTAGATGCTACAAACGGCAGAATGAGTAGCTTAAACAATCTCTATGTTTAATGATTAAGATTTATTAAAGTAAATAAAATTAACAAAACTAAATAATAAAAAACTGATTGAGTAACTATAATCTTTTACCGTTTAGCTGTTGAAGTTCTTGGATTTTCGCACATTGGCCTCTTAAACATATAAAAACTTGCAATTTTTTAAGTCTTATTTACCTTTTTGACGAGAGTTAACCAGCGCTAATTAATTGAAACTAGCAGTCTTTTACTATCTATTAAGGTATTGATTTGTGAGTTTTTAATAATAGGTCAGGTGGATAAAAAATTCCTGAAAGATGCTGACAAAGAAGTGTACAAGAGCCAATCAAATCAAAGAACCGTGCACAGATTATTCTAGATCCAGATTTCCTAATTTGGTAAATCCTCTGACTATATTGAAACGTGAAGATTGATAAAAATAGTATCAGATTCTCAGATAAGAGCTTTAGTAAGTATAGTTTTAATATATTGCTCAATGATTAAATCAACTACTATTCAACTAATATTAATTATTAAATGTTGTTATTACGCTTTAATATACATAAAAATGAAGGAATGATAATATAGTATTTATTAAAATTGTTGTAAGGAGGTTTTATAAACCAATACCTATTATATCTATTAAGTAAAAGCTATACAAAGAAATCTATTAAAAAATAAGATTTGATATATTAGATTCGTATATTATTTGTTCAATTTTTAATAATGATTTAAATAAAAAAAAAAATACCTGTAAATTTATTAATTGGTAATCCACTAGTCAACCAGAGATTGATCATAGTAAAAAGTAACTCAGATTACTATATAAATTTACTATAGTGCGAATGTGGCATGTACACATCTAAAACTTTTTTTTATACTAAGTTAATCACCTTTCTAACTTAAGAGACTTTTGTAGAGCTTGTCAAGGCACATATAATGGTGGTTAGAGCGTCAAAATCGGCTTGGTGAGTGCCGAGATATCTTTAAAAAATGTTTCTTTTACTATGTAAACTTCT